TTGGACTTGTGCTGGACTATCACGTCCCTCTGCCTCCGAGGGAACACTCACAATGGGCTGCTGGGGGTGAAGAGCCTGCATCCCTAGCCCTGGGGGCTGGCCCTGCGCCTGTGGCTGAGGCACTGTGGAGACCTGGGGTTGCTGCTGTGGCTGGGGCAGGGGGTGGTTGCGGTCGGGGTTTTCGGCGGTTGCTGTGGCTGCTGCTGCGGTTGCTGCTGCTGCTGCTGCTGCAAAGACAAAAAGAGAAGGGACCATCAGGGAACTGTCTGGGCAACGCACACAGCAACAGGGCACAGGAAGGGCTGGAGGAGGAAGGACGTTCCATGCAGTAACATACCCTCTTACACCATTTTCCTTACAGGTACCTAAATTACCCAAATTTCACCAGGACCCTGCCCCAGGCTGAGAAATGGCAAGAAATACAGGGACAGTAACAAAGTTCTTCTGCAAGATGAGGTATCGACAGATGGCAGGAAGAGAGCTACGAGTCTACTGGTCAGCTGGGGAATGACTAGGAGCAAATAAGATACAAGAACAGAAAACAACTAAGAGCTACCTCAAGAGGTTGGCTGGTTCATCTCTTGCCTCCTGGTTAAGATCAGCAATACTGACTTCACTGAGTATTTGCCTGACCTGTTCACAAAATTTATCCAGAGGTAGCAATAAAGCTGCTATAACCTCCCTACACAATCCTCTCCAGGTTACAGTTACTCCTTCTACTGGAGTTTTCCTTAATCTCTACACTGAATCTCACGTTATGATTTAATGCCATTTGTTGTCCTACAGCCAAGGGACAAGAACAGATAGGGTTTTTTGGCTTTTTTTGAAGACAAAAATTTGGAGTTCTCTCTTCTTGTCTCTGCCTCTCTAACTCGATGCCCAGCTATTTCAGCCTTTCCTTCTCAGTCACATTCCCCAACTCTTGGATCTATCTTGCCCTTCTCTGCCACTTATGCCAGCTGGTATTGCACTTCAGTAAAGGACGCGGATAAAACTGGATGCAGTGTTCCAACCTAGATGTTGACAGAACTAGTTATGGTGAGAAGAATATTCAGCGTGTTGAACTTGGGAGTCAGAATACACGCACAAATCTGAAGGTTTTTTCATTTCTCCTCATTTTCAGACATTTCTCCCAGCTGCCAATGTAGTTTTGAACTCTCTAGATCAACAGAAGAATTTCTAGCAGAAGTAGAAAACTACTAATGCTATCATAAAAAAACATCATGGTGATGCTAGGTACAGTTCCGATCACTGGCTCAAACTTTGAACAGACTCAGAAAACAGACAAAAATACAATCAGGCAAAGGAACAGTATCTTATGAGAGGAGGTTAGAAAAACCTGACCTATGGAAGCTGCAAGTGCTCCCTAGGAATACACTGGATAAACATCAGAGAGAAAGAAGAGCCAGTAAACAACAGGACACAGTGGACAATAATAATTGGATACAAGAACCAGTCACAAACACATTGAGGCTTCGATCAAGAATTCAACCCAAAGGGAGTGAGTTTCTAGAACAGCCTCCTAACCTCCATCTTAAACCAGTCTGGCCACTTAAGTTCTTGAAATGGATGCTATGACCTGAGTACGCAAGAAAGCAGATGACTAAGTGAGCCAGAATACCCCTGACTGGCACAAATACTACCAACCCATGCAAGACAAACCAAAAGGCCATCTGTCCTTTCTACAAGCCACTGCATCATGACAGTCAACTCAAGCACCAGGAGTCTGTTCTGCATCTGGTATGCCTCTGATAATGCAGCAGGAGTCACAGTAACAGGGAAGATTTGGGGCACTCCACTTTTTTTTTTTTTAAGCAACCAAGCAATGTCAGCTAAAAGCTGAAGGTATACATGAAGTTACTGAGCTAGAAGTGCTAACAATTTGTCTGAGGCATGTTCTTTTTCTAAATATGAGTGATGGAGAATGCTAAAAGAAACCAAGTGAATAGTCAGGGGATGCTACTCATCAAAAGGACTAAAAGCTGCTGACCATGCTACAGACAGTCTCTTGTCCAGCGCAAGGCAACAATTCTCAAATACTGCTGACTGCGGCTCTCTGCAGGAATCACTGTCTCGCTCAGGCCCCTCTCAGAACACAAAGCCTTGGCACTCCGTGCCATGTAAAGTCTCCCTGTATTCTACAGGTTTGCTAGGCCTTGTCATAAGGTATGCAATTCACCCAAACTATTTCTGTGTTTGTCTGTCAATTCAATACATTTCTGTAACTCCAAGAAATGTATTCATATATGTAGATCATGTAAGTATTTGAATATTCGTAAGACCATAATGCAAATCCATTGAATACTCATGCCTGTTGACACATGCCTGTGAACTTCTTGGAACCTAGAGAGCTGGGTCTAACAGCTTACTTTGGATCAGTTTTTCACCATCCGCTGTTAGCTGTGGAGTACATGGACTGATTCACACCAGATTTCCTGCCACTGGAAACTGCAACCGATGCTTATTTTGATCTTATGAAAATGCAGATATGCCCCTAAAAATGATCTTCTAAGGAACAACTCTACCTGCTCTTATGCGGGATGGGGGGTTTTCATTTTGCTTCTAGCTCCTGCAACATTTCTAAGACAGCTAGCTTTCTGCACAATCTTACGTGCTCAGCTGGAGTAGGAAGAGGTGGGATGCAGGCCAGAGAGGACTAAATAGACCTTTACTGCTCCTAACTTCCCTTTAGCTCATGCTGGGTGACTGGCAAAAGGCAGCGCAGCACGTGTCTCCATCAGGAGTGGCCAGCTCTAAGGAAGGGAGAACCGCCCAGCAAATTATTACAGACAGCCCCCCGAGTTGACATCCTTCCTGGCACAGAGGGGCAGAGCAGAGCGTTGCTGACACAGAGGTAAGCAGCACTGGGCAAGCTTCCTCTAGTTCCAGCAGCCTTCCTCCTGTCAGCAACCACTCACCCTCAGCATCTGCTGCTGCTGTTGCTGCTGCTGCCTCAGGTACTGCTGCTGCTGCTGATCAGGCAGTATCTGGCTGGGTCGAATTCCTGAGGGGACTCCTTGTGGACCCAAATGGTTCATCCCACTCATCATGGGGGCCTGCTGTATTGACTGGTGAGGAAACCTACAAGAGAAAAGGACAAGCTCATGGAGTAAAAGATCAACAAGATAGGCAGCCCAAACAGCCCCTTGCAATCCATGCTGCCTCTCTGCAGAAAGGTGAGGGACACCTGGGCCTCTCAAGGGTTTCATCCAACCTGTTTCTCTAGAAGCCCTAAGTAACAGTCCTTGGCCTGCTGTTCTGCATGGTTTCTCTGCTGGATTTATGCCTGCTCAGGAGCAGTGGAAATCCCAGATCTAGCCCTTTGATGGTGATCTGCTGGTTATATTTAAAACCAAAACTGTGACTTTCCCAGGTCATTTTTCTCATACTTCCCAATTCCATCTTTCTCTGGCTGGTAACACTGTCTCCTGCCAGCAACTAACATCTCCAAATTTCATCCTGTCTCTCTGTTTCTTCCCAGGACTGAAAGCTGGATAAAGATGTTCCCCTGAGGGTGTGAAGGACTCAGATGTTGTATAACGCAGCACAGAGAACAGGCTTTTCACAGATTGCTGTTAGGGTTGTGTGAGCAGAGCAGGGAAGCCCTTGATAAAACACAGCTTATTAACATCCAGTAGGGTGGGAGGTACCTCTGTGTGTTGCCCAAGGTGTGCCCATAGCCAGGGGCCTGCTGGTGTACGTAGCCGCTGGGTCTCTGCTGCATCTGTCTAACAGGATCCACCAGGGCAGGATTAGAGCTGGGGTGGGAATTCTGATAGGGTTGGCCAGAATAGGTAGGAGGTACCATCGTGCCTGACTGGGAGGGGTGCTGCTGAAGGCCTATGTGGGAGACATAAGGCGTGTAACCCTGAAATGAAACAAAAAGCCTTTATCAGTCATGGGGTAAGGTACGAAAGAGAATTTGGAACACAGGGCATCAGCCTCCTGTAAATGCTGTCACAAGGCTGCTCATCTCTGGGATTCAGATTCATGCTGCCCAGTAAATGAGGATTGAGAAGAGCCAAGAGATTTCAAGATTTAGCAGCAGAAATGAAGATGCTGCCCTGTGCTGGAGCCAGATTCCAGTCTTACCTGTGGTCACTGCCACTTACCTGGGAGGGCTGCAGTGCTCCATAGGATGGGGTTGGAGCCATCTGGCGCACGGGCTGCTGTCCCATTATGCCTTGGCCCTGCTGGAAGGCAACAGAGAAACACTTTTTTCAACATCTCCAAAGGGCACTACTGCTCTCTTCTTGGCAGCTCCCACCAAACCAGACAAATAGCTTCACTGCTCAATCTACGAGGCTACTGCACAGCATGCAGATGCTAACGACTTCTGCCTCATCCTGACTTGGGACGAATAGGCCACTAACATCCCTACCACCCCACAGCCACAATGTGCCCCTCTCACTGCCCAACAGCCACAGATGCCCCACTGCACCTCATTGATAGCCTCCACCAACTGTCAGAGACGTGGGCCCATAAAGCAGGTGGCAAACACAGTGCTGCACCAGAGAAATAGACGCAAGAGATAACACCTTTCCAGGGCAGAAACAGAGACAGGGTTGGAGCGTTCTGGCTAGAAGGGATAGCCCCAGCAAACAGCTTGGGCTTGCTGTACTGTGGGGTCCAGCAACAGGAAGAACACAGCTCTGACTTACCAACTTTGCTTGAAGCTGCTGCCTCAGTATCTGTCCCTGGGACACTGGAGGCTGCTGTCTGTACACTGCTGGCTTGTAGGAGGGGTCAATGCCCATCATGCTCCCCATCCCTGGAGGCAGCACACCACTATAGGGCGGACGACTCTGAACAAGTTTCCCCAGTGGCATGCGTACAGGTCTGTAGGATGTATCCAGGCGAGGGCCACCTGCAAGAGGAATAGAAACAGGCTGACTAGTCACATGCTATTGCTGAGCTTTGTAGCTCCAGAATGACTGTTCATCACTGTATCTAGACACATGACAGGCAAAAGGGGAAAGTGTAGGGACCTGCATAGGACCATGTCACAGAAGGGGTTCTTACAAGAGGTTCCCAAAGAGGTGCAATATGCTCACCTCTCCTGTGCACCTACCTGCTGGAAGAGGCTGATTCTGGGCATAGAGACCCACTGGTGATTGCCCATATGCCAGCCTCGACATACTGCTTCCTGACTGGTGATGCAAGAGATCTGTAGGCATACCAACTCCATATGAAACCCCTCGGCTAGGGCCCAACACAAAATCCTGCAAAGACAAAGAAGGAGTAAGAAAGATCAATGTGCACTAGGAATTCATGAATGGATGAAGAGTATGAAAGGGTTGCAAAGTCCACAGGAGGAAGCCTGGAATGCTATCTGAGCTGGGCAGCCCCCTTGCTCCCATCAGGGATTAAGAAAATGTTTGCCCTGCCCCAGGCTAGAGAGAGCAGGATAGAGCTCCAGCACTCCCAGCTGAGAGGAAAAACATCGCATCTTCACCATTACACCACTCTCAGGCTCCTCAGGAAGTCTCAAGGCAGTGCTCTGTGACTAGGAGGGGTGGACATGGGATATCCATAGCTGTTGGGCAGTCAATTACCTCAGTTTTGCTGGCAGATTGGTTGCGTTTCTTGGTTTTGCTCTGTTTCTTCTTGCGTTCTTCAGTAGAGGTGGCAGGATTGGAGCTTGTTTTATCAGCCTTGGTTGGTTCTGCAGCTTTCTTCTCTGGCTCTAAAGCCACAGGTGTAGGAGGCTCTTCCTCTTCAGGGGGCAGCGGCAATGGCTCCAGGTAGTAACTGCGGGGCTTGGGTTTCAAGTGCGTGTGGTACAGAAGAAGCCTCTGCTGCTCCTCAAATCTAGACACCTTGCGATCCACCCGGACTGTCCCAAACCATCCCCAGGAGAGGGGGGCTGAGTGCTTTAAGCCCTCAAACAGATCCCAAGGGGAAATCTTCTGTTTTGTAGAGACTTGCAAACCCTTTAAGGCAAAAGAGATAAGAACCTCCAAGTCCCTGTTGTTTCTCCTACGAGGGTACAGGAAACTATGCTTCAGGCTCTACTCCACGTGTCCCAGTAAACAGCCTGAGCCCTTACTAGTGGTCCCTGCTCTTCCACATGGCAAAACAGTAATCTCTAAAGGCCTTCATCAACAACTGTCAGCCTCCTTCATCCCATCTCTGCCAGTCTTCTGCACGCTGGCACTGCCCAGTAACTCATGTGACGGGGATTATGGGTTTCTCTTTATGCTTTATATAGCCATAAGTATTTATGGCTATATAAACCAAAGTTTAAATAACTTCTCAGGCCATAGCAGCATGTATCACTGAGCATTAACACCCACCTTTGCCCTTTTTTGACATGGTTATGTGCCAGCTTGTCTGCGTGCAGCCAGCCACTTCAAGCTCAGCAGGCAACAAGGCACTGCATACAGATGCCTTCCAAGCTGTGTAGACTCAAGGCATCAGAGGGACAAGGTGACACCTGCACTCAGGAGCTGTGATGCAGACAAAAAAGCTTCCCTTACCTCCTTCTTGAAGATGGAGTCAAATCCAGCTATTTTATTGCCTTTGGTGTCAATGAGGGATCCCTGAGGTTCACAGGTGATGACATCTCGGGTCTGCTTGGGCAGCGGCAGTAGCTGTCGCACCTTCTCCAGGCTGTCAGATTGCCGGTCCCCCAGCTCTTTCTGCACAAGTGGAATAGAGAAGACTTGAAGAATCGCTCAGGAAAAATCATCCAGAGCCCACCTGTGCCTCTTCTTGTGTCAACCTCCATCCCTGCATTACCTCTCACCTTTGCACCCTTCAGCCCTACAGAGCCATTGGGGCCACCCTCACTGCTTCATCTAAACAGCAGCAACAAGACAAGTACCATTCGTGAGACACAGGTAAATCTGCATAGTTGGACAACCATGACACAGCACACACTGCTCCCCATACAGGACCTGGTGTCCCTCACCCTGAGTTTCTTGACAAGATTCATGTATGCCCGCTTGTTCTCCTCCATGCTGCCCTGAGAAATGCTGGACATATCAGCAGCCAGGGTGCCGTTGATGAGAACACTCAGCATGTCCAACACAGTGGTGAAGAGCTCACTGTTGGTCAGAGCAGAAAGGTCAAAGTCACCTGAGAAGCAGATATAAAGCCTATGCCATCAGAGTAACACCAAACATTATTAGATTGCCAAGAGTACTGCCTACAGTCAGAAGTGCAAAGTATGCTCTTCAGACTAACCTCCCAGATTAATCCTCCTTTTGCTTATACACCACAGGGTGTTCACACTTGAGTCAAATGCAGTATCACAGATTAAGACTGGCCTCCTGTCTATCCATTCAGCTTCTCCAAAAAGCAGGTCCAGACTCAGCTCTCCCCTGCATCTGGAGAGCCAAGTTTGCTCTGGATATGTCAGAGTGCACTTGGATACTAGGACCTAGGCTGTAGCCTCTTTTGGCTGTCACAGTACTTCTGACAGATTGTCTAGAGAGACAGCTAGCTCACATGAGAAAAGGGGCCATGCTAACAACTGCCTCTCTTGGGAAGTGTATGGATCAGAAGTCAGCCAGAAAGTTACTTGTTTGACTGCATGTCCACAGTGCCACTGCTGATGATGTCCAGAAGAAGCACAGCCCATTCAGTCGTCTGCTGTGTACTGCGCTGAACTGTGTCAAACATTCCCCCCACCTGGCAGAGAAAAGTAGTTTAGTCACAAGGACACTGTGAAGAAATGCTAAGATTTAAAAGTGAGAAAGGAGCCTAAGCCAGAGCAACTCCTACTGAGAGCTGAAGGAGACTGCAGTCAGCAGGACAAAACTCAGATGCAAGTAGTAGTGCTGTGGACTGCAAAAGCATTGAAATGGGAAGGCACATCTCCAAAACAGAGACTAAGGCTGTGTATTTCATCCTGGTGAAATAGAGCAAGGGAGTTTTTCCATGCACCCTATCCCACTCAGGGCTCAAGACCTAGAAGCAGCACAAGTGCCTCTCCTATTTCCTTGCCTCAGGACATATATAGCCCTTCCAGTGCATGCGTGTTCCAAAAAGAGGAAAAAAGGCAGAAAACTTTTCACCCCATATGGTTAAGCTCTTCTTCTGCAACTGCTCACCAAATTCAGCCGTAGTTTCAGGGCCTCATGCATCAGCTGCTTGGCTTTGCAGTCATCTTGATACTGATCTTCCCGCCAATTCGTAACAATCTAAGAAATTTAGAAGAGAGGACAGACCTCACAAGCTGTATGCTAAAGCTTATAGAGAGGAGCTTGTACTGCCCGCTGTCCAGTGACTCAGAGATGGTCAGCTCAAGCACCCTATACCAACCAGGGTAAGATCTTTGCCTTATTGAGCATATAATCAGACAGACAACATCCCTGAGGACATGCCCAATAGCCTGCCTGCTGGAGGAGCGAGCCCTTGAGGAAAGTGAGGGGAGAAGCAAGACTCCTACCTGTTGGACCTGACTGTACAGAGATGTGAGAAGGCCTTCCCGCTGCTCATCCTGTCCTTTCAAGCATGTTAGCACCAGTGACAGAAATGGCTGCTGGCTCAGGAGGGACATGCTGCAGAGAGAACAGAGATGGAGCTATACTGCCAGGCTGGGGGGATCAGCACAGCAAGCATTGCCTGCCCTTTCCCCAGGACTCACCTCTTCTGCTTCTGGCGGTCCCGCTCTTTGCGGGACGATGACCCCAGATGTTGTCCTTTCTCCAGTTCTTCTCCAGCAGCTTTCAGCACATGGCCCTGCACTGATGTTGGAAGCTTGGCAATCAGAGGGGCCCCCAGCCACACTCCCGATCTCTCCAGGGAGCTGAGACAGCACAGGAGAGAAAAGCAGTTTGCAATCCAACCTATGATTCAGACTCGTCTACAAGGCAGCTGCATGCTGGGACTACACCTACCTGAGGATGGGTTTGGATTTGTTGCTGGCAGGCGTAGCACTTGCTGAGCTACTGATATTGTTGACTCCATTGCCAGCAGAACTAGCAGAGCTGGTCTCTGCTGACTGCTGGAATACCTCAATGGTGGCCTTGGCTATATTTTCTAACAAGGAGTTCATCTCCTGGAGATAGGGAAGAAAAGACAGCCAAGTCCTTCTCTGAGAGCACCCACTGACAGGGCTTGCACATTTCAATACAACTCAGTACAAACCCAGTTTGTCAGCTTCCCCATGGCTGCTGCTCTTCAGGTCTCAGACTCATCACTTGGCTTTCACAGGCCTGACTCACTCTTTGTTTACTTTCTCCCTATTCCCACTTCTGCCGGGCCATCTCCCCACCACCTCACAAGCAGCCGCTTCAACCCTGGCAACACACATCCCTGTATGGTCTCTCTGAGCAGAAACTCACATTGTTTGCAGTCTGCTTAATCATGAGCTGCAGCTCCAGCGAGGACTGCCTCATGGTCCACTGGTCCAGATTCTGCAACGCACGCACGCATACTTCATATGAGTCTTTAGTTCAAACTATGTCAACCCACACCCTCAGGTCCCATGATAATGAGTGCCAGACCCCTCAGAGGGCTGCATTTTGGACAACCCCACTCTAACACTACATTAGGCAATTACTAGAACACACTTAGGTTCTGCCAGGAGCCTGCACCTGTAAGATGCGTTTAATCCTCTGCCGCTGAGGATTTTCTCCTTCCTCATTGTCCAGCAGCCGGTGTGGATAACAAATCAGCTGCATCAGCCTCTGGGCCTGTGTGCTGCTCAGGACAGGATCCTGCAAGTCATTGCTGTCTTCACAGAGGGACTTCAGACATCGCTCGCCCACCCACTCCTGCAAGACGAAGGCAGAGTCAGCACAGTCAAACTGATGTCTGATTCCAAACCAGCACCCCTGCTTTCAATCTCAGAGGGGTGCAGGGAACACATCAAATTCATAAAAACCCTATTAGTATGCAGTTGTGCCCGATAATCATTTCTCTTCATGAACTGTACTACCCTGATTCAGCAGGCGTCAGGCACAGCACAGCAATCACAACAGAGGAAACATCAACTTCCGCAAGTCAGCAGTGGTGAAACACAGTAGCTGCTGTTCCTTTTGATAAAATATTGGTATGATTTAACAGTACACAGTCACTGCCATGCCCAGGCTCCATCAACACTGCCACTTGGGCTCAAAAGATCAGAAGGGATCACTTAAAATTATTTGGTCTATTTCCTGCAGAACAAAGCCCTGGAGCTGTCCTAAATTAAATAATTCAGGGCTGCAGCTAAGGCTAAACTAGAACATATCTTAGGGAAAAGCACACTCCTTAATTCCCAAATAGTGATGGAAAACACACTGCCATCCTTAGTAAAAAACAATGACTTTACTTCTCAAAGCCTGGAAGGGGAAACAACTGACTGGACGCAAGCCGTTTATAAAGTCACAAATCATGAGGAGAAGGTAGACAGAAAACTATTATTGTTGGCCTCTCAATTTCAGTTGGTGGTCCCTAAATGTATGATGATAATAATAAAGGCAGCAGTTTCCAAAACAGACATGAGGTAGGTACTTCTTCACACAATTTGCAGTTAACCTGCAGCATTCGTTACTACAGCATTTTTCCATATTGAAAATCAATTAGGCTAATTCATGAAATTAAAATCTACACAGGACTGCTATATAAGCACTTCTGCAGCTGCAGAGCAAGCCTGATCAGAGAATTCTTCCACTGAGAAGTGACAACCAGAAGAGAAGAGATGAGGATCCAGTTCATGAAGCACAGGTGCTGGTGCTAAGCCTAGAAAGCTGGAAACAGTCCTTCTCAGCAGCAGACAGCACTCTAAGCACTAAGTAGAGCACAAAGGTCGAAAAGGCTCAGTCTCTGGTTTGAAATCCGTGTGAAACCACAGCCTACATCTTCAACTTCATCCCAGATGAAGTTTCCACTTTGCAATACATGTGATCTGGCGATTTCTCCAATGCCTATTGCATTTCTCCCATTCAGTGTTGCTACATCATAATTTCTTGAAACTTCTCTTCCTTCCGTATGTAATATGCATATCCTTGGGAAGACCCTTTTTGTCACTTGCTCGGCTTCCTACAAGAATTCAGACTTCATCTCTGATCCACTTTATTGGCATAATCTCACAAATAAGTATGAAGTCAACTACCATCTTCAACCTTGAGGGTAGCCTCTCTCTCTCCCCCCACAACACTTCTTTACAAAACAGCCACCTCAACAGGCACTGAAACAGAGCCCCTCATCTGCCTCTTCACAGGAGAGCACTAAGAACATGTTTTACAAGCACTATGGACAACTCCACCATCCCAGTCACCAGATTCAGGTTAGCACCTTTGACTCAAGTCTCCCTCTTGGTTCCCACTGTGGTTTATCACAGCTCTATGAAATTAACCTTTTAAAAGGCCAGTCACAATTACATTTATTAATTTAAACAGGCTAAAGGGCAGACCAGCAACTATGTCATAATCATTTGCACCTAAGAAACCTTTAACTTAATTCTATCATCTGCTCCTTTCCCCACCCCCTCATGATGAAGTCTATTATAAAATATAGACCTGAATATGAGATGCAACATTTTCTGAGTTTGAGAAATCACAGTCTGTAGTTTAAGGCATTCCACAGATATTTCAGAACGGATAGTGTGAGTTCTGCAGCATCCACTGCTCATACTGGAGGTGCTAATATTAAATACATCATTTTACCAGCCCTTTACAGCTGCAGGAACCCTGCAGGAGTAAACCTCTGGCACAATTTGGTGGTACTCACTGGTGTCTATTGGAACACTCACTCCTACATAACCAGTGCTGCCAACAATTGGCATGAGTAGTGATACCTGACACTGCTACTCCCTCCTGTACACACACACACACACTTTCTACCTACTGCGAGTCCTTCCTACATAGACTGGGACCAGCACGGGAATATCTACTTCTGTCAATGCTACAGTCAGGTTTCGGTAACACCAAGTATGTTGAATTTATGCTCGTAAATAGGTGGCTCCAATTCTTCTTTGGTAGGCTAGTAACATTGCTATATAGCGAGCCAATTAATAAACAGCATCACAAAGCATGAGGACAACACAGCACTACTGTGTTGTGTTTACATATTAGTAATACAGAATAGAGGTTTCAAATTGTAATACAGAATAGAGGTTTCAAATTTTAACTCTGCATCTTTCCTGTTGACAGAGTAAATTTGCAACCAAGGCCAAGGACACACTTCAACACCCATCTTCATACAGTAGCGGTAACAGCCACTCCACTCTGCAACTAAGTACCTTATTAGGCAGGTTTCAGTTCCTCAAATGTCAATTTGCCACAAAGGAACAGAAATACTGGTGCTGTCAGATCAGGCTAAGCAAAAGATTTTTGTTGTTGTTCCTTTAATTAACTAAACAGGGCACTGCAAAGCCCAGGGATACATTAACAGCCTAGCTGCAAGCAACACTTAAGCTACATTCTGAAAGGCACCATTTATCACTTCAACAAGCTGTCTTTCTCATGCTTATCTTCTTTACCTCCAGCACACATCTCAGCAAACCACTCCCAGCACTCCCCTCCTTGGACGTGAGCCCTGTGCTGTTGCCAAAGCAAAGGGGACGTGCAGTCCCTGCATACTGCAACACCTAATTCTTGACATCTGTTTGCCTCTCTATTTTTTGCTAATGGTGAGCAATCCTTAGCGCCATCACGTGGCAGAACCATCGCAGGTTCTTTACTGATCTTTCAAAGAAACACCTGCCAAACCCAATCTGCAGAAAGTCATATGGGATATACCTGTCTGCAGAAGGGATAAGGACAAATCTAGAGATGGGACAGACTCACCTGTTGACATATACTCCTTAGTACATATTTGGCATAAATATCCAAGCTAGCTGTTTCTACAGTTACTACCCGACCACTGGCCTTCCTGGTGCCCAGCTCATCATCCATGAGATCATCGACACCTCCAGGGTGGGAAAAGCCAGAGCCTTTCAGTTCTGCATCTCCTACAAGGAAAGCACAAGTGTCACTTAATCATCAGTGCTAAACCCAAAGCCTGACCCACAAAACATCTTGAGCTTTTGTAAACTCTCTCTGCGATCAGTGATCTCTCTGCAGCTAAGAGATACAAAGCACGTTTACAGCTCAACCAAAGGGCTTCAGACAAGCCACATATCCACCAAAACAGATCTCCTCTGGCCTTCTGTACAGCCAACACATGCAATACAGTGCCTTTCTCCCACGCCCCTAAAAAACATTCTTACAGGTTCAGGCTAACACAGGTACACACCCAGAACAAAGACAGCCTTCAGCACTGCAAAGACTGCTCCATCCACAATACGATTCTGGGAAGCTAAAGAGGACGACGGGGAAGGGCAATACCCAGTGAGAGAGAAAGTGCAGGCTCCAGAGCTGCCTGAATGATGTGCCAGCCAGTACCATAAAATCAAGCTCAGAGAATCCTGAGGCTAGTCGTTTTCCCAACTGTAACATGGGGTCAATTTAATTAAGTTTCGTGAAGCATAGTGCAAATCACGCTGTGACAACTGAACCATGAACTCCAAATGGGGAGCAGTGCCTGTGTCATGAACTCCAAGCTCCAACAGTACCCTAACCTAGAATACAGGCTGGGTTTAGAAATCAGGATACTGATGAGGAGCCAAGAACAGAGCTTCCTGGACTGTTTTCATCATCAGACAAAAAGGAAGTGCTGTAAAATAGCAGCTTCTGGCACCAAGTTAAGAGGCTATACAAAGCTCTAGACATAAAAAAAGAAGTGATCATTACTCTAATGGCTTAGTGACGGCAAGGCCACCTCTACTGGCTGGTTTCCTGCCTCCAAGGGCCTCCTCCCAAACATGCCTGGCTACCATGGAGTGACATAAATGGAAGGATATTGTTCTTTGTCCTCTGCAGAAAGCAGTGTATCAGGCTTCGCCTGCTTTATTCAAAGGAAGCAGGTCACGATCTCTAATCATAGGGTTCAGTATCTCTTTTCTTGGGGTACAAGAGCCTCAGTACTTTCACAATAAAGAAAGGCTCTACTTTCATTCACTTACTGCCATCTTGCTGGCATGGATTCAGTTGCGGAGTCTTAAACAGATGGAGTAAAATCCGACAGGTCAGACGTGCTCCTGGTTCTGAGTCCTGTTCACTGCAAGCTATGTAAAGAAAACAGTCAACTGAGATTTCTTAAGCACTGGGACAGCTGACTCTCAATCCAAAAGCTATTCACAGTGCACTGCCCTGGAGCAGCCAGTTGAAAAGCTCAAGCAGCCTTATTGTATTTACAAATATGGAGCATGTGCAGCAATTAACATGCAAGTGAGAGATCCATCAGTATTATCCCCAATGACATGCACTGCATTCTGCTTGCTCCATCTTCCCCACTTCACCCTGTCAGAGTCTGGATGCTGCAATCCCCAAAGCAAAGCTAGGAAGGCTGGTGGCAGAGTAAAAGCAGAGTGACCCAGGTGCTGTAGGCCCAATTGGTCAGCTGGCTGCTCTAGCCAAAATGCTAAGCTGAACCATATCAGCAGTGGGAGGTGTACTGCTGGAGTTCAGAGCTGAGTACACTGGTCAGACAGTGTGGCTGATAACATCTCTCCGTGCTTATTTCAGCTTGCACACAAATTCCAGAGAGCAAGAACCTTAGCACAACCAGGTTTTGATAGAAACCAAAAGGACAGATACTTTCTAAAGCAAAACGTTCAATTCTTAAGAACCATACTGTAAAAGTAGTATTGGAGGCATGTTTCACAACTATGGGGTTCACAAAGTATCCATTAAGCACAGGCCTTTGGGCCAGAACTGAGACTAAGACCAGCTTTCTGCAGTGATGCACTTACCAGCATTGAGGAGTGAGGGGATAGCAGCACAGCGAATCAGGTCCTCCAGCAGCAAGCACTGTCGGGCAATGAGAATGGCAACGAAAGTGGCCAAGGAATCATGGAAAGATAAGTCACTGACCTGGAAGAGAAGAGATCAGCCAGTGATCACAACAGCCTCTGCCTCATTCCCTCTGTCAGCAATTCCTCAGCTTGCCTAGGAGCTGGGGGGCAGAAGGTCCCATAACCCCAGGTCAACGTCCATGATCAGACCAGGCTACGACAAACACCAGAAGGTAGCCCCAGTATTCAAAGCCTTTCCCCTGTCCTCAGAAGACAAAGCCTCCATCCCTTGTTCATCTCTGCCTTCTCCCAAGGGATCCCTCCACTCCTGTTTCAATTCCTTTTCCCCTTTTGAATGTTTGCACTTGCATCAACATTGCAGAGGAGATCATTGAAGCCACAGGTCCCATTATTGGAGGAACAGCACAAAGCTTTGAGCACACCCAGCCACTCGGCGCTTAGAGACTTGCAGTAGCCGGTTAGCTCAGCACACAGGATAGCAATGTCGTTCACCCTGTTAAATAAATAATGAAAAAAGCAGAGGGTCAACTTTGCTACTCATGCATGCCATCAGGTCAGTGATTCTCTAAGGGACACCAGCTTTGGCTCCTTCTTCCTCACACCCCAAGACAGCCAAGGAATGGCTACTGGCTTTCTTATCCTCACCTAAAGATTTTACTATCTCAGTAGAACCATGAAAGTTCTGCCTCTCACCTGTCTGGATCATGGTGTCCCACACACACATGCATAAGTGCATTACAGACGAAACTGTAGCGGTTGGCTGGGTTTTCATTGAGGCTCTTGCCCAGGTTAGTGTATGTAAAGTTATGTGCAGACGGATTTTCAATAGTGTCAATCATGAACTCTGGTTCCCATAGCATGTTGGAGTCAGATGGCTCAACATTGCAGTAGATTGTGTTCTTCACCTTGGAGCAGAAGTCACTAAACAGGACAGGAAAGAGAGATTAGAAACACAAAAAACTAAACTTCCACTGAACAGCAATCCTGTGCAAGACAAGCTCTCCGTGGGCAAGAACATGTGGAAACTCAAGATCACTGTGTACCAACAAAGACTCTGCCAAAAGAGCGAAGCTGGTTCTCTGTTGTGGAAGCATTTGGAAGATACCCATGGGCTCAGTGTACACAGCATGGGAATCACTATTCCAGGTCAGATTGGAGAAACACCTAGCTCAGCCCTTGGTGTCAGAACAGTTGATGCCCAGAGAAAAGTTTAAGAGCAAGGCAGGCACGTGGCAATACTGCTCCAGCATCCTTCCCCACCCTGCTGCAACTTTGGGCTCACATATTTTTAGAGTTAAAGATAATGCTCTCCTCAACAGATTTTCCTCCTGCAAATTTGTCCACCTACTTTTTCAGTCCAGTAGATTTTTGATGTTCACAACATGGAATGAGTTCCATGTTAACTATGAGAACTATGAAGTTTATTCTTTTATTCTGAACCTACCATTTGTTATTTTCTATTAATTCCTTTTTTGTGCTTGTATTGTAAGACATATTGAACAGTCAGTTTATTTTCCATATCAACCAGAACTTTACAAACTTCTATCATTCCCCCTCAGTCCTCCTCTTCTGTGGGGAAGAGATTCGGTTCCTCATAAGTAAGTCATTCCAAACGTCTGGTCTCTATCCACTCACCCTCCTTTGGGCCTAACTCCACTACGTGCTTTTTGGAGTCTGTCGCCCCAAACCACAAGGCACAGTTGTACCACAGCTTAAATGGTGGCCTAATGATGCTCTCTGGTCTATTCTCCATTCCTTTCCAAACAATACCTAACATTTAATTTGCTTTTTGACTGTTACTGAACACTATGATGACATTTTCAATTATGTATCTGTTACAGCTCAAAGATCCTTTATCCAACCAGCAGTGTATATCCATCACTACCTTGAGTTTGGAAGAGAACAAGGACAATCCTACGTGCATTATTTTATGTTTAACAACACTAAACTTCATTTGCCAGTTTATCACCTGGTCACCATCACTGCGCCCTACTACAACAATCTGCAGCCAACTCCTATTGTTATACGCTGAATAACAATTATACAAAAAGTTTTGATATCACCACTCATAAAACTTCCGACGCGTAGAACGGCACAGGCACTAGCAGAGTCTATGGGACTCCTCAGGGAGGGATCACCCTCAAAATACGAACTCCTTCCCACTCCTTGTCTCTATCTCTAACCTACTGTTTGCCTGCTAGAGGATATTCCCTTTTATCTGTGGCCATTTACTTTAAAGCCTTGCTGAACAGCTTTTGGGAATTCAGTTAGACTAATATCAGGTTTCCCATTTCCTCATGTGTGATGACTCCTTCAAAGAACTCCAATGCACCTATGACCACAGCACTCCCTCTTCCTCTCAATTCAGTCCAGAGAGAGACTTCAAAGGCTCTCAGCAGCCAGGAGTTTAGCCAGCTAACACCAAGGCACAAGCCACTCTCACCGCCCCTCAATGAGGGGTAACACTACGGGTTAGATGTCCCTATGGCACGCCTGCACTGGAAACACTAATGGAGCAGAGGCTGTGAGAGAAGACGAAGTGAAGCACTGTACTGGGAAACAGGGTTGTCAGGAGAATTACCCCTTCACAGGATCATGTCAGCAAAAAGCCAGGGAGATCTGTGGACTCCATCTCTGGGCTAAGGGAGGAGCTCCACAGGGAGCTGGTGGGGGGACAGTTCCCAAGAGAAGAACTGCAAAGAGCAGAAGGCCACAGCGTAAAGTAAGCCCACAGGACAGAGCCTGGGGACAACATCAGCAGAGCAGAACCTGAAGAGCCAACAGGGGTAGAACAAGGATAAGGAGTGCAAAGTAGCACAGGAACAAACCCAGAACCAAGCAGAGCAGGTTCAGAAGCCGTCCAAGGACTATTAGGGAGCTGAGCACAAGCAAAGAACAACCTTTAGGATGAACTGCTCAGTCAGAGTTTGGTAGGAACAGACCTCTCTACTTCTATCCTCTAGGAGTGGGGTAAGAACAGACCTGTGGAGGTGCAGAGGACTACTGAAGGCAATTTACCAAAAACAAATTGATGATCTAAGAGTCAAGATTATACACTGGGTCATTACTACCTGTAAAACAGGCACTACTCCCAAGCCTTCAGTTCCCCATTGAGAGGATCTCAGGGAAAATCCCATCAAACAAGACCACAAGCAAAGCTTAAGCCAAGGTGCTATACTGGTCAGCATCCACTGCATCTCACCTGCCTCAGACTCACCTAAAGAGCTCCCCAAATTTACTTTTGAGGTGACTGCAGGAGGTATACAGGTCGTAGAGATAGGCCAGGATACAGCGCTCTGCTGAGGAGCCATCTGAGCGGTTCATGCCATGTTTCACCACCCCACACAGACTGTATAGAGACAAAAAAATGCTGCAGCAACACAAAAAGAAAATCTGAAGGAATAACTTCATTACATAGATATCTTCCTGAGCTCACAGCGACAGTGCTCACTGGGTAACAGATGCTGTCCTCTGCAAATTCTGTGAGCTGAACCCTCAGGCACAAAGTTGCTGCCTTTTAGGAAGGACACAGATATAGCCCTGCCCCTTACAAGCCCCCAGAAGGTACGTTGCTTCCTTCCACATGGAGAGGGGAAGATTCCCTTACCCTTCGAAGACCTGAGCCATCTGGTCCTGGTTCAATATAAGGCAGGAGTGGTAGTGCCGCAGCACAGCCACAATGCACAGGCACAAGCTGGTGGTGTAGCTGCCAACAAGGTCGGAGGATTTCAACAGCAGTTCTGCCTCCACCACGCTCAGTTCATTCAGCAACTGCACCCAATGACAGAAAAACCCTTCAACAGCCACAGGGGTAAGGTATGGTCAGAAATGGAGCAGGCACACCACACCCACAGCCTATAGGACCTGCCAGGAAAGGGACTGGCAGGCACTTTCTGCCTAGATATGTACCCCTGGAACAGTTGGCACCCCAGGCTTAGGCACAATGCCTCACTCAGGCAGTACAAGGGGCTGTCAGTGCTTGGGCATCAGAGCGCAATTGGGATATGGCCACAGACAGCAGCAGGCAGCTTGTTTGGTAATTCTGTCCTGCATAAATCTCACTCAGCTCCCTTTTTAAGGCTAACAGCCTCAATTCCATCAGCAACCATAGCAAGGCTTCAAGAGACACATGGCATAGGCTGCAGAAACAGCAATAGGATTTTAGCAGGATCCAGAAGGCAGCCTGTGCTGCCATGTGCCAAGGATCCTTCCAGGGGAGCGAGGTGGGAGAACTGCCAGAGACAGACGATCCCCTTCTCACTCAGAACAAGGCCTTGCTGCAGCCAGGGACAGAGGTTCAATGCAAGCCCTTTGGAGACAACCCTGAAGCCTCTGGAAGAACAATCCTCAGAACAGAACATGTAAGACTACCTGCCACAAACAACCTATTCCTAACAGCTGCAGCCCAGGAGCACCACAATGACCACCTCCATGACACAGGTCAGAAGGTCACCAGTGATCCCAGGAGCAGCCCAACTATCGCCGCAGAGATCTGCTGCCTTTCAGGCTGATGAATCCCTCCCCAGGAAGCGTGTGAGCACACTGCGCTTACCTGGATGGCAAAGTCGATAAGACCACTGATATTGAGTGAATACTCCATCAAGTCAAATATGAACTGCACATGCTGTACCAGAGGCAGGTGGTATGACATTCCCAAGGCAAAGCTGGTGATCTGTTCCAAGACATTGCGAGATACCTGCAAGTGCAAGATGATACACAGTACTATCTCCCCTTGCAGAAGTCCCTCAGCAGGCCCATCTCCCTTTTCCTCCAGGAGGCTGCTCTCAGTAACGCAAAGGGACACAGTCAGGGCCCAAGAAGGACAGCAGTCTTTAAAGTTTCATACCTGAGATGTGACTTGGTGCTGATCAAAGTGAGAAAGGTGCTGGAATTTTGCAAAGATATCTTCAGCTGTTGGGAATGCTTCTGGCTTGCTCTTTTTCCTCTTCTGTCCCTCCTCTCCACCTACCAAAGTTGGGAAGGTCAGAAAACAGTACTAGGCTACCTTCCTCATCAGAGGAGGACTAGACATCAGCCATCAGCACCTGCCAGTCCCTCAGCAAGACCAGCCCCTGCCATGCAGCATAGCCAAAAAGCCTGAGTCCCAGACCTTAAGCTGATAAGGACCATCTTGAATTCAAAACAATAAACTGCTGAGGAAGGAATTCCTAACCTGAGAATGACAGTAGGGTTAACATCTAGTTTATCTCAAGCGAAGGTACTCCTTGGAGGGGGAAAATACTTTCTCTCTCGATATAGAGGTACACTGATTCCCTGATGAGAACAGACGTTCTGGATTGGAGATGTTCAGCCTCAAAATTTCTTTGTCAGAGCACCCCATCTTTTAAAGAATCATCTTTCTACCACATTTCAAGCTGCCTTTCAGGAATCAGACCAAGAGAGAAAAAAATTCTCAGCTGATGGAAGTCAGAGGCTTTCTATTGATTTTGACACAGCTATCCAAATTTCCCATCCTATGCATTTAGCATGTGCCTCAAGCATAACGGCATGCTACATTTAACCAAGATCTTTGCCAAATATGCATAGGCAAGTCCTCTTTGCTTCTTGTGCAAGGATCTAAATGCAAGAACTAAACAAAATAAAATCTAAAAAGCCAAAGTTTTGGCCAGGATCTCACTCTGAACCTGGTATGACTTAATCCTCTTCTGAAGAAAAGTTCAATCAAACAGATA